TAAAAAAAAAAAAATTAGTCATTCTTCACAAAAATGAGTCCATTTATTTACAAGAATATAAAAGAGGTTACATTTGCAAGAATGGACAGAAGAACTGCTGGATTTGAGAGGGAGGGAGTGAGGGCGGGCGGGGAAGGGAGGCCTGAAAATCTCTCAAGGACTCTCAGGCAGGCTAGTATGAGGATGCCAGTCTGGGGAACAGTATTCGCTGCCAGTAAACATGGCCCTTGACAAATGGGTAAGTCTCGTTAGTATTGGCTCTCTTGTGCTCTCAGAATGTGCAAGTGGGAGGAGACGGGCCCTCCTCCTACTGGGAATTACTGGCTGTGCAGGAGGCCAGTGAGAGAGAGGGGAGCCTCTGGAGGGTTATGTCCCGGTGCTCAGTCCTTATCACAAATACAGCACAGCTTCCCGCTGCTGCCTGTCCTGAGTCCACGGCCCCACAGAGCCAGGCCCTCTGGGATGACTGTTTCTACATGTCCATCTCTGAACTTAGCGTCCTCAGGCCACAGTATCGCCAGCAGCCGCCCATCCCCTCCAGTAACGAATGTGTTATCTGTGTGGGACATGTTGACATGCACCATCACCACTAGCCTTCTCCCCAGGGCTCTGGAATATGTGCCCCCTAAGTGCCAAACACCCTCCCAAGAAAGCAGCTCATTCTCCCAAACCAAATGAAGAGAGAGCACAACTATGTGAAATCATCATCACACTGGATTTACTTTCATGCCTCAACACAGCTGTTCTTTCAGTGAGTGGCTCCGACAGGTCCCCCCGACACTTACTGGCGGCCCGGTAAATCCCGGAGGGCCAACAGGACCTTGCAGGCCCGGCAGTCCTGGCGAGCCCTGTAAGTTATTGAAAACAGAAGAATTACACGGGAAGTAGGAGAGACTCTGCGTGTGCTTATAGTTATTTAGCAAACGCTTACTGGTGTTCCTGGGGGTCCAGGAAATCCTCTTTCACCTTTCAACAGGGTCCCAGGCACATGGCCAATGATTTCACCTGGATCCCCCTGGGGGAATGAAAAAAGAGAAAAAAAAAATCAAAAATACTGGTATTTCTATAAAGAAACTGAGAACCCACTGAAGAAGAGGCGTGCATTACTGGTATGGAATCTGGGATTTAGGCTCTGTCTACACTTGGAATATACACACTGGCCGCCTCCCACTCACTGCTGCCCAGCGTCATGTGCCACAGACACGGCTCAGCCAGTGAAAGGAGCTACGGCACGTGCCCATGGCCATCCACCACCCCCACACCCCGCCACGAAGACAGCATGCATATCAGGGCCACAGGCTCCGAGCGCTCTCATGCAACAAAGATTACCTTTCACAAAAAGACCCAGGATGAGCATTTTTATAAAAGCAGGCTGTGATGGTAAATTTTATGTCTACTTGGCCAGGCCGATACCCAGATATTTGGTTAAGCCCCAGTGTGGATGTCCCCATGAAGGTGTTTTTGAGATAAGATAAACATTTAAATCAGTAGCCTCTGAGTAAAGTAGATTATTCTCCATAATGTGGGTGGGCCTCGTCCAATCAGGGGAAGGCCTCAAGAGGAAAGAAAAAACCTGACCTCCCTCAAGGAAAAGGGAATTGTGCCTCCACACAGCCTCTGAACTGGGATCCTGGGGTCTCCAGCCAGTCATCCTATCCTGTAGATTTTGGAGTTGCCAGCCCCCACAATTATGTGATTCCTGGGTGCCTGGGTGGCTCAGTTGGTTAAGCGACTGCCTTCAGCTCAGGTCATGATCCTGGAGTCCCGGGATCGAGTCCCGCGTCGGGCTCCCTGTTCAGCGGGGAGTCTGCTTCTCCCTCTGACCCTCTTCCCTCTCGTGCTCTCTCTCATTCTCTCTCTCTCAAATAAATAAATAAAATCTTTAAAAAAAAATTATGTGATTCCTTAAAATAAATCTATCAGGAGACATACATCTATGTCCATACACACATATGTACATAAATACACACACACCCCCTACTGGTTCTGGTTCTCCACAGAACCCTGACTAAAATACCAGACGATCATGAGGATGCCGTTTCTCAGCAGGACTGCTCCAAACACCTAGACACCCCTGCCCTCCGAACGGCTGTGCGGCATGGGGCACGCACCCTGAGTCAGATCAGCGGGAGCCGTGGCCCACCCACCTGGGAAGGACTTGTGGGCAGGGTTCTCTGCTCCCCCACGCCCAGGGAAGAATGCCGGAGGGGCCAGGGCAGGGCTAAGCACCTGCATGGATCCACCCCCGTGCCGGCTCATGGTGCAAGTGTGGATGAAGGACCTGCCCCCACTGGGCTGGGAGCAGGGACCCCACCGCTCGGGTACCACGGCAGGAGGGGCTCAGAGTTTCCCTTCCCCACCACAGGCAGAGGGTGCTGGGTCCCATCCTGACACAAAGGGACAGTCAAACTGAGAAAGGCCATGGATTTGCTCAGAATAAGGAGGGGGCGGTGGCAGGACACCAGGGATCTAACCTAAAGGAACTGGGGTTTTCCTGCAGGAATCACAGAGTTTACAATAGAGAGTGACTCCAGATTCCAGGCAACATGACGACGGTATTTAAGTGACACCATATAGATTAAACATGGTAACTGAGCACTTCTGTCCCATGGCTCAGGAAAAGGAGCATCACTGGGACTGTCTATGCAGAGAATTAATCTGGACTGGACTCACATCTGCCAATACTCACCATCACACTGTGCTTCCTATTTCTGCTTATTTCCTATTCAGAAATCGCACCCATCAAGTTTACATACTAAAATTTAAGTTTGTGCCTATGACTTAGATACTCGTGTAACAGAGCAGAGTTTAGACGAACACATTAACAGGCAATCAATCAACGAAGGTGATCTGAAATAAATGTGTTTGTCTGGCACGTGCTTTACTCCTGCAACGAACCCAGCAACGTGTATGTACGTACCTTCATTCCTGGTAATCCTGGCGGTCCCTGGAAAAGACAAGGGTGGCATCAGTTTCGTTTCTCTCAAAACATCATGAGCATTAAGATGTAAGTCCAAGAAAAGGAAAGAAAATGGAACAAAAAGAGAAGAATTACAACCAAAAAAAAGGAAATTCTGATGGAAACAGCACTATACTCACAGGATTTCCAGCGAATCCAGGCAAACCCGGGGGCCCCAGAGGCCCTGGCTCGCCCTGAGGGGACAGCAGAGACTCAGTCGGGTGCGAGACACACAGGACACCATTCCAGACAGCCCCTCAGTTACTCTGTCCTCCCCTTCTGAGATACTTCATTGGCTGCTGAAAATCCTATCCTAAAAATTATCTGTTACCAGCTTTATTGCCCAGTGCTACTTCATGATAGAAGATGTCTGTTTGAGAATATAATTAACAGGAACAAGGATTAATAATAGCATTTTCTTATTTGCTTTAGTAACAGATAAGTAAGAAATTCCATGTTTAAAGCAACTGCAGGATAAGAGTCCACAAAAAAGAAAGGCACAATTACATGTTTCTTGAACATTAAATATGGGGAAACTGGATCTCCTCATCAAACAAAGAGTGCTTTGAGGCAAGTAACTTTCCAACTGGGGCAAGTAAAACCGTGTTCACAGGACAGCACCGTCCGACCTCTCAACACGGGAAGTCCGGTAGCCTGAACATGAGGGAGGGGGTCTTCATCCCAAATTTACCTTTGTTCCATTGCATCCGGGGATACCTGGGGGACCGGGGGGACCGTCTTGGCCAGGAATACCCTGCAATCAATAAAGTGAAAAGGTAGCCAAAACAGGGTCACCCGATGGTGCTGTGTCACTCCCCTGAAATGTCTCCCCGAGGAAGCACGTGCATTTTATATACATACAGGCAGTCCTGGGTTTCCAGGGTAACCTGATGCTCCGGGGGGTCCCTGTAAGGATAGAAATGAGAGAATGCACTAAGTGCTGGGGCCCTCATCTCCTCCCACCTCACCCACCTGGCTAAGGGCAGCACCCACACCCAGCACATGGCATTCTGCCAGGGGCCCAGCCCACGGAGGCGGCAAGTCTACATCCAAAGCTGACCCGAATCACTTCTAAAATCAAGGCTGCACCCTCACAAAATAACTCTGTCCTCATTTCATACTTGGTGATTTCTAGGTGAAATATATTATTATATATAAAAACATATATGTTATATACATCATATGCATATAAATACAACTAAGTTACATATGTATAAACAGATAGAATTTACATTAAAAATTCAGATTGTTGAGGAGAAGAGTTTGTAAGATAAATCATCCCACTGCGGGGGAAGAAAACCAAGTCATTCCTGGTGGAGCTCTGGATCTTCTCCCTCCCTAACAGCGCCGGGACCCTCTCCACTGTCTCCTGCCCAAGGACTCAGGAGTGCCGGCAACTTTCTCCCCAGCTGGGTAACAGCGGAAGGAAATGCTGACAGTGTCTTTCCGTTTCTCCACTTTCAAAACGTGCTCTCCAAGGTCTTCATCTATGCATTTCCCAGGAATGGAAGTACAACACAAAAGTAGGGGGTGAAGAAGGCAGAGCGAGGTGAGCTCTCAAAATGTCACCGCTTTCCACAATAAAGGAAGCCCTTTTCTACAATGACTTGTAGACCTATCATCTCCCCAAATTAAAGCATGTCCGTGAGAGCCCGTGAGGAAGCACAAACGGGAGAAGCGCGGGCGAGAGAAGCCGCCACCAGGATGCGGGGGCGGGTGGAGCCGTGGCCAGCACTCACGTCAGCCCTCAGCAGGCCACACGCAGTGGCAGCTCCGGGCAGAGAGGCAGGGCACAGGACGGGCGGGGAGGAGGGACAGAGGGGGACGCCCCTCAGGACTGCTGGGAGGCAGGAGCGGGGAGAGAGCCGTCTCTGGGAGGCATCCCTGGACCACACTTGTACTCACTCTTGTGCCTTTCGTTCCAGGCAGCCCGGGTTCTCCAGTGTCACCCTGGAACCAAACAGAGATGCCACCGTGACAAGAACGCAGATCACCTTACCCCCGCCCCCGCCCCCACCGTGACGCACGCAGCCAAGCTTACCTTCTGTCCTGGGGGCCCCTGTGGCCCCTCGGGCCCTTGCATCCCGGGAAACCCGATGACACCTTGCAACCCTGGGAGGCCTCGCTCGCCCTACGAAGGAGCAGCAGGGCAGGCCAAAGGCATGTTAGAAGAAACGGAGGAAACGAACCGGTACTCACCCTTCCACGTGCCGCCCAGCCCCGCGCAAGTGTGTGCGGGCACGTGAAAGCCAACGCGGCAAACTAGCTCCTATTTCAGGAGGCCTGTCTCTACTGCACGTCAAGCTCTCTGAAGACAGGTATCTTCTTCATACACAACACCGAGCACAATGCTTTCTGTATACTATATGCCAAATGCTAAATAATTTGTTGGGTAAATAAAATAACGAATAGTTGGGGTTTTTTTCACCGAATTGATTGCGCGCGGATTCAACTAGTGGGATCATATTATCAGCAGGCACAGCGCGCTAGGACTCTGTAAGCAGACTGGCGGTCAAGTTCTTCCTTCAGATTCCTAGGAGCTGTGTAGACAGAGCTCACGGTGTGAGCTTCAGCACAAGATGCAGAGACTTCTCTGTGCAATCCGCAATCTGATAATGGGCGTTCAAAAGTGTCCTTAAAACGTGTTTTTTTTTGCAAAGGTATGATCCAAGTTTAATTATAGTCTCTGCCCTCGAGGAGCAAAAAGAAATAAGAAACATTATCTTTAAAACACTATTATTCAGGTGGCTATACACCTGAACACACACACATGTGGCCACAATACACTCAAAAAGGAAAAAGGACAGTCCAAAAGGCTGGGGTTCTGAGCCCCAAGCTGGCCCTTGAAGGGCGAATGCAAAATAAGTATGTGAGGTGAAAAAAGGAGTCAATGAGGCTGGGTGGTGGCAAGCAGATGGTGACGAGGTTGACCGAGGCTGCGTGAGCACAAGAAACTAAGCAAAAATACAACAAGCACAGAACGTGGAGGAAAGTGGCGTCCACCTCTGACACTGGAAACAGCATTTCTCCCAGAGGCATCGGCAAGCCCATGACCTGCTTACACGATATTTAAGGAAGACTGCCATTGTTAGATTGCCAACAGAAAATCACCCATCATCAGGATACAAAATCAAGAAGACCCATTTTCTTTACACACTCTGTGGACTCTAATGCAACCTTATGATACAAAGGAGCAGATGAGGCAGCCATTGCCAGCTGACTTTGAAAAGCAGAAGAAGGTCCTCTGGATGATGTAGTGACCTGTACTTTCTCAGTTTTGTCAGCTCAAAGTAAAAATAAACCGACAAGCTATACATTCCAGAACATCCACATGTACCCCCAGAAAGGCAGGTCACCACGGGTAACCGAGAAGTGCTGCACCGTGGCACAGCTGGAGGGAGACAGGGCAAGGACTCTAGAAGCCGCCCTTCCTTCCGAACCACTCAGCCAGTCCTGGCACTTGTTGGCAAATTCACTGCCTGTTGCATTTTTAAAAATGCAGAATGTGGTTCTGCACATGCGACTCCAACCGCTGTGCTTGCACGGACTGCAGAATTCACTGGAGGTGTGAGTCAAGAACAGCGTGTGAATCAATGTGAAGGAGACTATTGCAGAATCCAGGGGTATAATAAAATAGTGAATGGATTAAAGAAAATTAAGGCCTGCAGCCCGGCACACCGCTCTGGACAGCGGCATCCAGAGAACCGAGCCAGAGGAGCAGACACTGACAGCCCAGAGCCTTCAGCATAGGATCTGACACGGAATGCTGGCTCCTTCTCCCTAAGGCCTGGGACAGCTGGGGAAGAAAAGCACTCTCAGACCAAGACTGGTTCAACTGGAAGGCTACTCACATATATTCATTCTTAACCTGAACTAGTAAGAGTGTGTTACGACCGCAGAGAACGCTGACCACAGAGACACACCACACTTCGTCATCATGTCGACCTCCCTACTACTCGGATGTGGGAAAATTTTACCCGAAACAGAAGAGATTTGAACTGCAAACAGCTGGCTACAAAAACAAAATGAACACTGAATTGTGTCTCCCCAAATAGCCTCACATGACATCGGAAGGAAATGCGAGAGGCACATCAATGTAAGAGTTTCCAGTGCATTTGGTGGCATATTTTTAGTACTTAATTAGTATTTAGCTATATCACTATGAGACCCAGTGCAGATAAGACTTTATAATTCTCATTTTAACCGTGGAATGCATGGAGGCCGGGAGCCAGATTAGCTGATTTCTACAAGTTTCTCATTGAGTCAGCGCTAAAGCCAAAAATAGAAATGAGGTCAGCCTGCACCACAGTCCATGGTTTTTCTAGGTCACTAGAGCAAGTTGGTTCCCAGCAAACTGTTAAACAATTCACCAACATTAACTTATCCCCTTTTATGTCCATTTCAACAGATAGGGGCACTAGGATTCTGACGCTTAACTGACTTGTCACATGTCACCGGGTGACCCCTGCATGCTGCTGGGAACAGAACTCAGAAATCTGATTCCCAGTCCTTGCTTGCACACAGGAACACATTCTTTCCCAAATGTCACCGGAACGCTTAAGCAATCTGTATATCCCAAGAGTTTTGAAATTAAGTAGCTAAAAAGGAAGTGACTCCTCCATCAACATGGTTCTTGTTATCTCCCACATATTTTTTTTAACTTTCCCACTCTTTTGTTCAGACAAAAGTGCACAAGAATCATCTGATATCCCGTGCCCTGTCCAAAGCGATTATGGGCACCAGAGCAGAGCCAGCAGACAGGATAAACGTTCAAACAGCTCTACAGTTAGCTGGCAAGCAGTGCACACCGCCTGCAGGCCGCATTACTCCTCTGAGCTGTTAACAGGTCTCCACTGCCGTCGCAGGAAAAGCAGAGCGGGTTGTGCTGGTCGTGTGTAAGCCAGACAACGCAGCTGCAACAGCGAGACCACAACGCGGCCACCCCCGTGCTGGAGCTCAAGGCAGGATGCACACAGTCTGAACCCCTGAGAAATAGGCCCCTGAGTCACCTAGTTCCCATGATGTGTCAAAGGCAAGGTCCGAAAGGACATGGCGGCCACATAATCGTGCCAGGCACAAATGGAACCCACAACCAGGGTTCATCACAGTCGAGAACATTTCAGTGGACGAAAGAAAAGAGAAGTTGGTAAAACATTACACAAAAGTTTTGATGCAATTGCATTTAACAGTTTTATTCTTCAACGTCAGTGCAATGTATTATACTAATTAAAAAGAAGTTTATGTACCAACAACAGTGAAGTGATTACCACTGCATCCTCAAATGATGGAATTCAGAATTTAAAGAGGAAGACCAAAATGCCATCGTTATAAAGATGAAAGAATACAGCCACAGAGAATAATCTTGGCATCAAAATTAGCTATTCTAAATTGGGCATGAAATAGAGTTTCATGGACGGAGTAACTTAAAAATTTTGCATAAAATATGTATTATCTAAAGCACGGACATACTTTTAAAAACTCCATAAAATATGGGAACAAAAGACTGTTATAGTATCAATTATTTCCCTTCCTCTTAAAATGCTTATGGAAACAAGTTCATAATGGAAATCAAAGGCTAAAACACTACCCCTTCCTATCTAAGTCAGAAATCCAAACTCAACTGAGGCTCCCAGGATGGCTGAAATTGAAATAATGTGAAGCTTCCAACTCCGAAGGATAACATAATTACCAACAACGAACACTGAAGTTAACGAAAAATAGATCTAGAATAAGCAGTCACCAAGTCTTACTATCAGAGGCCATATTATGCCTGTTTCAACGGTCAGCATGGGATCACATTGTTTTAGTTAAATTTTAAATTTATTTTTCACATCTAAAATAATGGACAGAAGCACAACCAGAAATGTTTCCCTGCCTCTGGGCAGGCCCGACTGTAGTGGGTAGAGCCATCTACACCTACTTGTGCTTGGGTTCATCCATTACAAAGCAGAACAGACCCAACAAGCGAGGTCAACTAGATTTTGTGGCTGGGATTCCACCTCTTGGAAGTAAGTATTTTAACGGCGGGGATACAGTTTTGTTCATTCACAGTGTTTGGCACAATCTTTGAGTTCGATAAAAGTGGTGTGTGGATGATGAATTAAGCAATAGTGTACATGACCGTTAGCATGAAACAAGGCTGCACGTACGCATCCTGGGAACTGAGAGCGTGGTTACAAGTAAGGTGACCAGGCAGCTGGGGCCCCCTCCCCGGTCTAAAGCCTCATGGGCACCATCGGAGCCTGGGCGACACATGCGCCTGTGGCCGAAGCAGCTGCAGGGAGAGCAAGCCACGGTCAAGACATGACACTGGATCAGCTGGTTTTTTTCTGTCATTGGTGCCTGGAGATTTCAACTTCCAAGCAAAGCTGCAAATGACTGAAGGAATGAGAGCATTTGCTTTTGGAGCCAGACCTCACCAAGAATTCAGCGATGGGGAAATGATTTCAAATGATGGGTCACAGTCAACGGGTGACACAGGACTCAGCCAAAAATTCCACAAGAGCAATTCTTTGAGCCCAAAAACCATCAGACATCTGCAGGACCGTTTCCTGAATGCCGACACTGTTGGGAAAGTGGTGGGAAGTGTCACGGGGTCCTGGAAAAACTGTGTGACGAGGCCCCACTGGGAGCTCCATCCACATGGCGAAGCCTGACATCATGGCGGCACTCCCGGCGGCGGCGGCAGGGCGGGGGGGCAGTACGAAGCTGGAGCCCTACACACGCTTCCCTAAGAAGGGGACGTGCATACTGATTCTCCTTTGCACTATGAGACATGTACCTGGATTCCTAAAAGAATGCATGTATGTTAATGTACACCATGCTTCTTTGATGAATTAAATATAACAAGAAAATTGTTTCATGAAACCACTCTATCATTACTATTGTTTCTTGCATTTAATATTTTAATATTAAAGCAGGAAAGACTAAGATAATCAAGGTCAAAAAATATGGCTACCAATCTTTATTTTCTTCCCCGAACTCTGACTTTCTCTCTCAAGCCCTGGTGATGTTCAGCTTGAAAGTCAGTATTTGGAATCTCTATGTTGTGGCTCTCCAGCAAATATGTGTTAAGAGCTTTAACAATTATATATGCAGGGGGACCAAAGATAAGCGTTTAAGATTTTATTC